TTCAGCGTTTGTTTCCATGCGACACTTCTATGGTAGTCGTCATCGACGACCGGGCTGATGTATGGAAATGGAGCCCCAACCTGATCAAGGTCATACCGTGTACGCGGTGGTTCTGTCATGTAGCTAAGAGTGCGATTGACATTCTGGCAGATGATTTCTTTATTGGGATTGGGGACATTAATTCTACATTTTTTCCAAAAGTGGACCCTCTGGGCTCTGCGTGCTATGACCAAAATGCTCAGAGAAAGTTTCATTTCGCTTTCAATGCAGTCGGTTATTGAAATAAATCCAACAGGTAAAACTACCACTACTCCATCCCTCGGTGAATCGGTCGTACCAACAGTTGCTCCATCACCCCTTTCTCAGCCTGAAGAGAAAGAACGAGCAGAGCGCGAATCTAAGGCCATGTTAACGCAAAACTCTCTTGCTCTGGAAGCGCAGGTGGAGGAACGACCATTGGCAAAAAAACAGGAGGAGTTGCAGACGGCTTCAAATCAAGGCGGTAGCACGAGTGGTCAGAAGATCCCTTCGGAATCACCAAGCTCATCTACATTACATGAGTTTTCGAAGGGTGTATCACCACGAAAAGCACTACTGAAGAATGATGATGTTGAATTAACGCGTGTTGGTGATGTAAGCCAACCCATTGCCAATCACATTTTATCTTCGTAACATCTCCGTCAGCTGCTGGAAAGTGTTCATCGATGGTTTTACACTGCTTATGATAGCTATTGTGCGGAGGAACGTAAGCATAAACGCACACTGACCCCCACTGGAACCCCATCCGCCAAGCCGTATGATGTCACAGTGAGTTACCCTGGTCAAAATGTGACAGGATTCAAAAATGGTGACTTTTTGTAGCAAATTATCCCTCGGATGCGCGAGCGAACCCTGGAAGGCGCGCACATCCTGTTTTCTAGTGTGATTCCACTGGACACGCAGCCAGACACGACGGAGGTGTGGAAAGTTGCATGCATGTTTGGTGCCAAGTGTTACCAAGAACTTGCCGCTTGTGTGACGCATGTCGTTGCTGCCAAGGTTAGATTTGGGAAGTCCTCACATCGTTTAGTTCATTATATGACACTTTCTAGCACGGAACCGCGAAGGTTGATGCAGCGAGAAGAAAAGGAGGTATTAAGATTGTATGGTTATCCTGGTTTACCGATTCGGTAGCGCTCTGGCAGCGACAGGATGAAACACCATATCTTCTTGACGCTCCTACACCCTCAGCTGCAAGTCTAAGTCCTAATCTCGACCCTCATCAGATATCGTCTGATCCGGAGCCAGACGCCGATGACTGGGATGTCGAACCGGCTACAGAAAAACCAACACTCGAGCTTGACAGTATCGACTGGAACGATGTCAATGCGGAGGTGGAAGCAGCTATGAATGAAAGCGATGACGATGACGATGTAGAAAGTGAGCGCGGTAGCCTGAAGAGTGGTGTAACAACGGATGACGAGATGGCAACTGATGATTCTCGCAGTCAGATCAGGTTCGTTCTTGCGTTCGTGCTCGAGTCTTTTTTTTTTTGCTCAACACGCTGCGTACACTGCAGTACGAGTTCTTCACCACGGCTCAAGCGTAAACGACTCCGGAGTGTCACACCGTCGGACGCCGGCAATGGGCTGACTGACCAACAAGACCTCCTACGGTCCCCACTTTCCAAGCGCAAGAAACTTGCTGCGAGTCGGACCGGAGCATCTAAGTTGAAGGAGGCATTCACTGCTGAACAGGTTGCTGATGCTGAGCGACGAAGGAGCCGTAGCAATAGCCTTCAACGACCAGTGCCCTCGCCAGGTGTTCCAACCCCAGTGGATGAGGACGATGAAGATGAGGAGGATGATTTCCTAGCCCGAGAATTAGGGGAAGAATGGGGATAGTGCGTTCTTCGATACTAATCTATTCGTATCCATCATTGTCTTGTTTGTTTTCTTTCTTTTTACTTATCTTTGTAGCTTCTACAGTTGTAATTACCACACTACCCGAATGCACGCAGGGGAATCACCGACTACACCTGACCTTTCTGCCTATCTGGTTTCTTCAGTTCCTGGCAATACGTGTTCCACAAGACGTCAACCGAGTCCCCAGCGACAGCTGAGAAAATCTTGGTGTCGTACTTCCTGTCTTTCAAGAATGCGTTGAGCCTGCGGATAGTGCCTCTGCCACATCGCTGCTCGATCCAGTCGAGAAAGTACGCCGTGGTATCGTATCCCTTATCCCATTTGTCGCCACCTGCAGGTTTCCAGTGAGGTGGAACGTAACCCGCATTCAGCCTCACAAAATCTAGTATCCGTCAACGCACTCGATCACTGTCAACGGCGCTTGCTGTCAAACCTGCGATACCCTCTATCAGTCCCCCTGGGCATGTGTCGAGGCCGTTGTACTGATAGCAGTGTACAACTTCGTGGACTAGGACGCCCTGAATCTCGTCTTTGGCTCGAGGAGCGGAGCCAGCTATGTAATCGAGGGAGAAGTGGATCTCCTTGTCCACATGGGTGCCAAACGTGTACGCTACGCCATTGAATGATCGAAGGACAAGCGTAATGGTCTTCACGCTTGAAGACACGAAATATGAGAGCGTTCTTGGATGGGGGCCATCATGCACGTACTGCGTGGGTGCTGTCAGGGGTGTGTATAGCCAGGTGTACGAGGCCTCCACAGCGAGCTTGAGTGCTTCCTTGGGTTTGACATTGTCAAAGAAAATAGTGGCGCCTTCATGGGCAAGATCCTCGACCTTCAAGACAAAGTTGGGAATGTGCCAGTGGGGCAATGAATTCAGCTGTTGCGGAGGTGGAGGCATGGTAAGAGATGTCGGGCGTGCGCGTAGGGTGCGGTCGGGTGGCCATGGCAGTAGCTCAATAATACCAACACCACTTGACCTCGAAATCGAAGGTTCCACGTTCCCCTTTCTGATGAGGACATGATGGCTATTACACAATAAGCTACATATATATATTAATGCAAGTGCCGTTGTACTGGTACAATACAATAACGCCCTGAAAATGGTTTAACGGGCTATCGGCGTCAATCATCAGATAAAACTGACCGTCAAGGGTACAACATCGCGTGCCTGGGCCCATCAGTGCGGTGCAACGATTCCAGCTGCAGCCTCCAAGCGCAAGACCTCTTCTCTGAGCGCATCTTGCCCTTCCTCCAGCCAACGGCAGTATTCCACAGCGCGAAACAAGACCCCACTTTTGCCTTTAGTATGACCCTTGCTGTTAGTCCCGCTACCCTTAGGTCTCCCTCGGGATGGCAGGTCGATGGTCTGTGAACCAGCAGGTGCGATGAGTGCGATCAACTGGGCGTATCCGTCACGGATTGCGTTCCGACGTCTTTGTTCAGACATGATATGATTGAGTCGCTTCTGGGGGGTTGACAAGAGAGGTTTAACTCTCGTGGGTTGCCGTGGTTCGGATGTATCTTTCCGTCTGGCAGACCTTGTACGTGACTGTGATTTACACCGTAGCGAGCTCTGCCCGAGAGTAAGCCCGTCTTCCTCGTACTCTAGGGCATCGTTGTCTGGCGTGTTGGATAGGACTGTCATTGGGGAAACAGGGAGCACAGAAGGACAGTCTGCCGACATCAACGATTGGGAGGGTGGGGCAATAGAAGTTGGAGAAGACGATTCGGGTGGATTAGGAACGCCAGACAGGGAAAGATCAGCTTCAAAGTCCCAGTTAAAGTTATCGAGAAAGCCCAGGAGATCCGTTGTTTCTGACGGGGAAAAGAGGTCTGCAGATGACGGTAGCGGTGCTGGGAGAGGAGGAAACAGTTCGGAGAGCGCTGGATCAAATGCATATTCGAACTCTGAGAACGGCACTGGCGGTTGGGGCGATGATGGACACGACATGATCGCTGATAAGGTAATGGGGCCACGAGATGTCCGCTGAGGACGGGCCACCCCCTCCGACGGGAACGTGGGATTGCCGGAGGCAGGTGCCGTCCGTCCGGTCGTGCCGGGAACGTAAACAAGGATAAACCCCATGACTCCTCCGAAGCAATTCCATATATACGCCAGCTGGACCGAACAGTGTCGGAACCCCCCCGATCCGCAAACACCCATGTCGGCCCTCAGCGAGGCATCTACACCGGCGCAGGACGCGGCGGCGGCGTCGGCCATTGATACACAACAACTTCATCAGCTACCCCACCCCTCAGATGTACACCAACAGCAACCACAAGGCGTAAACGGCACAGGGGAGATCGCCACACGCAAAGGTCAGCTCCTGTCATTTTGTCATCAAGCAGCTTGATGAGACGGAACTTTTAGCCAAGGCACCGTCGGTCAGGCGCGCCTGTACCGCTTGTCATGCGGGAAAGACGAGGTGCAGCGAGGTACTTCCCTGCCAGGTGGGTCGCTTCCGAGGTCGTATACCAGACCTTCGACCTTACGTCCACTCGTGTGCCAGAGCTGTCTCAAGAGAGGCATCGGTGCAACATGCGCTTACCCAGACCCCGAGCCCGACCATAACCAATCACAACCTAGTAAGTTGGTTGCCAATGCTCGACTATCATACCCATAACCCGTGTATATACAGCACCAGGCGTGTCGACTTTTGCGCAGTCAACCATAGGGTACGTGCAAGGAGCACCCACCCTCAGCCAGCACTCGTATTACGACTACAATGGCACGTTTACTGGTGCTTCTTCCTCCACGTTCCGTCCGAGTAAGCGGCCACGGAACCTGACCGAAGAAGAGGCCGCTGCTATCACACGGAATTTTACTCGTGGTGACTTCTTCGTAGGCACAAGCGCTCCAGTCCGTATAGACCCAAGGTTGCCAGTCCGACTTACATTGGGGGAAGGCGATCACGTACATTTTAGCATCACTGAAACGTTGTCATAGTGTATCTCCTGTGGATTACCTACCTATTTTACTCTTGTTCTTGTAGTCAGTGATTACACGTGTAGCCTCTTCGTTGTTTTCGTTACGGAATGTGCTCATTTATCAGATCGTAAAGACCGCATCATAATTAAAATGTTCCAAAAAGTTGTGACGAGAGTGGGATTCGAACCCACGCCCTTTCGGACCAGATATACTTGTGGTCATCTTGATGACCTAGTCCTTAGTCTGGCGCCTTAGACCGCTCGGCCATCTCGCCAATTCTTCTCCGCCGTCGAAGGTGTCTGACTAGAACGAGGCTGTTAAGGGGCTGCCTCAGTACTCGTGGGAAAGTGCAGCACTTGAATTCACACAGCATTATTATGTAACACAGCCGGCGAGGTATTTACATTTGTTTGTAACTGAGGTACGTCTCAGCTGAATTCATCCCTTGACGAGTGTGTTGCATGTACTAAGACAACTGGTGGAGGGAAATGACTGCCTTGTTTCTTTGGACAACGCTGGTGGAGCTTGAATCGAAAAATGCAAAGAGCAGTATAGTCTCAAAACAAACAGACCATTATTTGTAAACATAACACGTATTATTGGTTTAAGATGAGGACAATAACCAGATAGGCTCCTTGGATCCGTCCCACCATCGCATAAGATGGTGCCCGCCACGTACCTCCGTACAGTGTTGTCTTAAGATACTTCTCATATCCTGCAAGGCAATAACTCCATGCTAAAGAGTATAACAAGCATACCAAGCTTACCAAGTCGAGCTGTGTCTGGATCTTGTCTATCGATCCGTCCAGGTAACACTGGAACGTCCGGTACAATAAACCCAGGCTCCGACAAAGAGGCGATGATGGGTAGCTTCTTCGCTGGGAAGGAACTTACCACCGTGCCCACGCTAGGCATTCTACCCATCTTCAATCGGTGCTTATGCAATGTAGGAGAGAAGACCCTCTTTTCCCTAGGTTAGGGACAACAGTTGTCAAGATGTTTACATTCGTGTTGTTTCGTAGGATGACATGTCACTCGCCTGCACAGATACGTGATGGAAAATGCAAAGTGCTTAGTACCCTTTGGAGTCGAGGGGGAGTTGTTCTCATTGTAGTGCATGACACTGCTGTAACCGTTCTGATCGCCACAGGCACAGACTTACGCCCGAAGCACGGTGAGCTCGTACAAGCATTGAAGTCTAGTCAGTGAGAATACTGCATGTCGTATCGAGGCTGATCTGTATACTAATAATCTGTGGTTCAGCAAGCAAAGGATCTATCGAGTCCCTTCTGAGTGATATACACACAGAGGCAATCGAAGGTCCATCAGAAAGAACAGCCAGCACGCTTACTTGATCACCATACCCAGGAACAATAAAAATAAAATTGTGACGAGAGTGGGATTCGAACCCACGCCCTTTCGGACCAGATATGCTGTGGTCATCAAGATGACCTGATCCTTGGTCTGGCGCCTTAGACCGCTCGGCCATCTCGCCCTTAAAGGCAATGCAAAGCTGGCCCTCAGAAGGGAGGCAGAGTGAAGGAATACAATCAAGCCGAAATAGGGGGGTCGTCTGATGTCCGTTCGGTAACCGAGGTGCGTGTTTCAGCTGCGGGCCACACTGGCGCTGGGACTAGTTCCTGTCGTTGCGATGCTGAATGCACCACCTGTCACGAACTGAGCTTTCATCTTCTCACCCTCTGCTTTCCTTACTCCCCTCATGTATTCCTTGTCGTGCGCACCGGCGCTGGTCGCCCTGATTGCTTGCTACATCCCTTTCCTGTCACTGTTGGGCGAATTCGTAGCGGCCTCTCCGAGCAAGTCAGTATTACGCAGAGCAACGATCTGTAACGGTAGTCCAGACCTGTGCGATCGGTCGTTTGGGAACGTCACTTTCGTGGGTACTCACGATTCCTATGCCGTGGGCGTCAACAACCGTCAGTACCTTCCGTTCTTCAAGGGTGGCACGTACTAAGGCTTTGGCTGCAGTGGCCACCAACCAGGATTATAACAGTGAGCCCGACTCTGAACTTCTTGAGTAAAATTCTCATGAAGCCGGGGAAACCAGTCTCTCAACAACTGAAAGATGGGATTCGGATGCTTCAGGTACAGGCACACAATGAGAGTGGTACCATCGAGCTCTGCCACAGTTCCTGTGTTCGTCAATATTCCATCTGATTCGCGAGTCATCCGGGGCTCATCGTTTGGCAGCTTTTGTACGATGGTGGACCATTTTCGGCGTACCTCGAAACAGGTAGGCCCTTAACACGCGGATATTGCATGCCTAACGTGTCACCGCAGTGAAATCTTGGTTAGATGCCAACCCCAATGAAGGTAAGTCCCGTCGCGAGGGAGACCAAGGCCCGGATTTATCGTGCCGCTGCGTCCAGTGCTTTCGATTCTCGTCGTCAATTCCGACGGCTTCCCTCCATCCGCCTATGACAGTCTCTACAAGTCCGTTGGGCTTGATACTGTATCATACGCACCGCCGTCAGCGTCGATACCTGCCAGTCAGTGGCCCACCTTAGGGACTCTCATTGACTCTGGGAAACGCCTTATTACCTTTATGGATGCAAATGCGGATTTCACCAGTGTTCCCTATATCATCAGTGGTACGTTGCACATCTGTTAGACGCTCGAAGCTGTATCTGTGATTGGTCAGAATTCACCAACATTTGGGAAACTCCCTACGATGTTACCACGACGTTTGATTGCAGTGTCAATCGTACTGCCGGGGATCCATCCACCCAAATGTACCTGATAAATCACTTTCTTGACCAGTTAGTCCTCGGACAACCTGTACCTGATCCAGGGAACGCGAGCGAGACTAACGCTGTCTCGGGCCCCAATTCACTTGGGGCTCAGGTTGAGCTCTGCGTCAGTGAATACGGGAGGAACCCCAATTTCATGCTAGTAGATGTTAGTGAGGACTTGCCTCTGCCACGAGTACACGCTCAACTTTCTGTCCTAGTTCTACGAGTATGGTGGAGGCTCTGTCTTCGAGGTCGCCGCTGCTGCCAATGGTATAACATATAACCCATCTACGCCGATTGCCACCCCTCTATCTCAGAATAGCTCTTCGGGATCTAGCGGATCAAGTCCAAGTGCCAATAGTGCACCATATTCTAGTTTTGGAACAGGAACGGCGGGGCTTCTCATGGCTGGTGTTGTCTTGAGTAATGGCTATATACTTTGGTAATGGGTGGATCGACATGTGCAGAGCCGATGCTGGTTGGAGAGATGGATATGGTACTTAGACGATCATATATTATGGACTAGACACCATCTATCTGTTGGGAGGTGGTACGTCAACGCATGACATTTCAAGTTCTGTGACTGGACTCTATACCTCATCGCTTTCTTTCTACACGCCACTTGTATATACGAGGTTTGTAGGTCTTTGGAGTAGATTGTCGTGCTGCTGTACGCAAACCGTCGTCTTCGTCGTCATCCTCGTCATTGGCACCTATCTCTTCTACGCCACGGACCTTTCTACGACCGCCCTTGCCAGCAAGTTGGCGCTGCATCTCCAGCTCGCGTTGCGCGTACAGCAGTTGAGTATCCCTATTTAACCGGGCAGCGAGTTCCTTCAGGAGACGTTTACGGTGTTTCTAGATATCATCTTCAGCGCGCATGTGTAATGACACTGGGAAAGTACCAGTACAATGTTCTCTGCCTCTTCTGCGTCAAGGTCACCAACTGCACCTTTGGTATCTTCACTGCGGGCCCGTCGTCGCCTGGCCTTTGTTGAGGTGGTGTCTTTCCAACCTAGATCAACTGGCTCATCCGATGGGGAGGAGTTTTCTGTTTTGCCGTTCGACCGATGGCGGTCCAGGTATCTCTGTGCTGGGTGCGCGGAAAACTTTATTAACCGAGAGGTAGATAAATATGTTGAGTATACCATCTGTTTCATCTTCCGCGAACAAAACAAGTCGCGGTGAGGAGTTGTGTTTTTGTTTGCCTTTGGACTCGGGCTGAGGAGGAAGCACGCCAGCCGCGCACAATGTCTCTAGCTCAGACTCGTTCAAAGGCTCATCGCCGACATCCAGGCCTTCGTCCGAGAAAGATACCAGGTTTGCCAGTGACGTGAGCTGATTCTTCAGCTTCTCAATTTTCTGTTGCGAGAGTCAACATATGCGATCAAATGCGACGAAATGGTGTGAACCTTGAGCCCAGCAGCTCTCATAGTGCGAACATATCCCTCGTCCTGGGTTTTCAAAAGTTTTACCATATCCATTGGCATGGATTTGTTTCCTCTGTCTTGGATGTGGACACCCTCTGCCGTTCTCTCCTTGTTCATGGCAAAATAGAACTCATCCTTGTTTTTGTCTGCCGCCTTCCGGCGGAGACGATTGAGACGGTCCTGCTTTGCATGGTAGTCTCTGGCACGGAGCACATAGTCCTTGTGCTTTTCGAGTAGCCCAAACCGAGCGCGATGGGCGAGTTGCCCGCGCTCCTTGTGAGAGCGACGATGCAACGAATTCCGGAGAGAGGATGTCATGCTTGTCCGTGTGTCACAGACCGCGTGACAGAGGATGGGTGGATTGGGTGTGACATATCCGTCACGCTCGAATTGCGCCTTGAAGCGGGCCAATTTTGCTCTGGTTTTCTGACGAAAAAAGGATGAGTTTCCAGCATTTCAGGCTGGGCCAGCTGGCGATGTCGCAGCCTTTGCCTCCACATTTGCAGCAGAACACGGCTTTCTCACCCAATATCCAGTCTGCCTCCACCCAGACGACCGCCCCGTCCATCACCAAACAGTCCTCTGCGCGTCCACCCTATGGCTCAGGCGACACCGACGACGGCTACACCCTCGTCTTCCAGAACCTTACCGCCTTCCAGGACTGGAGGGCTCGCGAAGAGGAAACTCATATGGTCGAGTTTGTAAAGGGAGACACCCACGGCAGCAAAGCTATCCCTCCCCGCTTCAAGGACCATACCAAACTCGTCTGCGCTCGTCACTCCCGCAGCGGCCGCAAAAAGTACGTCAAGAAGCACCCAGACCGCGTCAGAAAGGTCCCCAGCAGAAAGGTAAGCTCATAGCCCCTCTCACGTACGTGTCATTTGACACGCTGTTACCGTGGAAGCTGGAGGGACAGGGGTGCCAGGCGTCCATCAGCTACAAGACATACTTCGATACCGAAGAGGTCCGAGTGTGTTGTTAGTGCTTCCCGACTGATACGCCGTATACCTTTGTGGTGCTGAACACATTCTCTAGACGTATCTGAACACTCGCACCCCATCGGACTCGCTAATCTCCCATTTACGCGTAGA